TTTGTTAATTTGTTGATTTTTATAATTTTTATATAATTTTTTTCATAAAAAAAAAAAAAATTAACAAAAAATTTAATTTTTTTTTATTAATTTATTTATTTTATTTATTTATTTATTTTTTGATTTTTAATTTATATGAAAAAATTATATAAAAAAAAAAAATTATAAAAAAAATTAAAAGAAAAAAAAAAAAAAAAAATTAAAAAGAAAAAAAAAAATTATATAAAAAAAAATAAAAAAAAATTATAAAAAAAAAAAGAAAAAAATTCTAAAAAAACAAATTAAAAAAAAAAAAAAAAAAAAAAAAAAAAAAAAAAAAAAAAAAAAAAAAAAAAAAAAAAAAAAAAAAAAAAAAAAAAAAAAAAAAAAAAAAAAAAAAAAAAAAAAAAAAAAAAAAATTATATAAAATAAAATAAAATAAACAAAAATTATAAAAAAAAAACAAAAAAAAACAAAGGCCAAGGAGTCGGAGTCGGAGTCGGAAGCATAAAAATTTGAGGAGTCGGAGTCGGACTCGAAGGTTTTGTCTTCGACTCCACAGTCCTGGTACCTATACTGAAATTTTGAACAAAATCCATTTTTTGGCCGAAATGACGAAAATTGTAAGTCTATAGCCTAAAAGGATTTTTGGCCAAAAATACATTTTCTCTCTGAACTAAAATTTAATGTGCCTAACTATTTAAGTACATCCAGAATAATACACAAGCACCAAGAAATGACCTCGAAAACCCATAAGTGGCGAGTAATTAGCATTGCAAAAGTAATTAAAATATTCTAAAAATCATTTGAACATTTTCTAAAAGCAATTTGAACAAGTTATAATCAAGATATCAAATTTTAGTTAACAGATCCTTAAGCAGCACATTCAGGAGTACCTATACTGAAATTTTGAACAAAATCCATTTGTGGACGAAATGCCAAAAATTGTAAGGCTTACCCCTTACAGAATTTTTGGCCAAAATACTTTTTCTCTCTGAACTAAAATTTAATGTGCCTAACTATTTAAGTACATCCAGAATAATACACAAGCACCAAGAAATGACCTCGAAAACCCATAAGTGGCGAGTAATTAGCATTGCAAAAGTAATTAAAATATTCTAAAAATCATTTGAACATTTTCTAAAAGCCATTTGAACAAGTTATAATCAAGATATCAAATTTTGTTAACAGATCCTTAAGCAGCACATTCAGGAGTACCTATACTGAAATTTTGAACAAAATCCATTTTTTGGCGAAATGACAAAAATTGTAAGTCTATAGCCCTTAAAGGATTTTTGGCCAAAAATACTTTTTCTCTCTGAACTAAAATTTAATGTGCCTAACTATTTAAGTACATCCAGAATAATACACAAGCACCAAGAAATGACCTCGAAAACCCATAAGTGGCGAGTAATTAGCATTGCAAAAGTAATTAAAATATTCTAAAAATCATTTGAACATTTTCTAAAAGCCATTTGAACAAGTTATAATCAAGATATCAAATTTTGGTTAACAGATCCTTAAGCAGCACATTCAGGAGTACCTATACTGAAATTTTGAACAAAATCCATTTTTTGGCCGAAATGACGAAAATTGTAAGTCTAAAGCCTTAAAGGATTTTTGGCCAAAAATACGTTTTTTCTCTGAACTAAAATTTAATGTGCCTAACTATTTAAGTACATCCAGAATAATACACAAGCACCAAGAAATGACCTCGAAAACCCATAAGTGGCGAGTAATTAGCATTGCAAAAGTAATTAAAATATTCTAAAAATCATTTGAACATTTTCTAAAAGCCATTTGAACAAGTTATAATCAAGATATCAAATTTTGGTTAACAGATCCTTAAGCAGCACATTCAGGAGTACCTAATCAGGGCTGTGGAGTCGGAGTCGGAGTCGAGGAGTCGGAGGAAATTTCGGCTTGTGGAGTCGGAGTCGGAGTCGGTAAAATTGTCCAGACTCCGACTCCGACTCCGACTGAAGCTATTCTGTTCCTAAGAACAAATATATGAACTCAGGCATATTCATTGCAGTGATTCCACTGATCCCACTAATTTTCTTAAATTATTAAAAGAATTTATTTCCATTTTATAAGCATTATTATGAATTTATTGTAGCAGGCACAGTATAGCACTATAATTTTGGACGATAGTCTCTTCTTTACCATTTGAAATTTTGAATTATATCAAATTTTGTTTCGTTGAAAACTGCACAGAGGCTCTCAGCTACAACCTGTTTTTGGTGAGATTAAGGCAAATTTAATTTAATAACTTAATCATGTAAGGTTTATCCATTTTCCTTAATAAGGTATTCATTTCTTTAATGTACATAAATATATAACTTTACTTTAAAAGGAATTGTAGGATCATCATTTAGATCCACATCAGATTATGAGCTTAAACAAAATTCATATGCTGAGATCGAACTTTTAGATATACATGTAAATGGTGTTTTCTAGTTAATATCTTGAATTCTTAATAAATTTATTTTTCTTTTGATTGAAACTTTGAAAGTCAAGCCTATCATCTTTTTGTAGTTCTTAAATATCGTCCAGATCATTAATAAAGCTGTAGCAGTATAGCCACGGTGTTTTACTTTTTACCTATGCAGGTTACAACATACAAATTACAATTAGGATGGTAGAAATAGTTGTTACAAATAGGCCAAGGAGTCGGAGTCGGAAGCATAAAAATTTGAGGAGTCGGAGTCGGAGTCGGAGTCGAAGGTTTTGTCTTCGACTCCACAGCCCTGATGTCATCTCCAATTGTTTGAGAGTCTGGAGTTAACCTAGTGTGAAGGTCGCCTCGTTTTGCTTGGCTATGTAACAGAGTAGCAAGGGAGGTATATTTACAGTGTATATGTTTTCTACAGGTACACCAAGTGCAGGTGATTGTGAAATATGTAAGGTACCGTATTGACAGTGTCTGAGTATTGCCATGGAGTTGATATTGGCACTAATGTATTACTGGAAGTAGTCAGAAGTCTAGCATTACTTTAATAAACCATTTTTATTGTATGTTAGGGGTAGGCGATATAGATAAAGTTCTTATAATATCCGAGCAGGATAGGACTCGTAGCAACGGATTTAAGTTGGATAAGTTTAGGTTTAGGAGGGAGATAGGAAGGAACTGGTTCACAAATAGGGTGGTGGACGAGTGGAACAAGCTTAGCAACTTTGTAGTAAGTGTTGGAACGCTGGAGAGTTTTAAAAGGAGGCTAAATAGATTCATGGATGATAGAGAGTGGTAGTAACTCTCGACAGGAGCTGCCATGCACAGGCCAACCGGCCTATTGGAGACTTCTTATTTTCTTATGTTCTTGTTTTCCTGCAGTGACTACCTTTATTTTCTCCCTATATCTTGGTACCATTTACCCACGTGTCGTACCCTCGAGCCATGCCACCACAGGTCAGAAGACAAGTCAGAAAGTACAGTATTGTTGTAGTGGGACAGAGAAAGTAAAGTTATAAGCGATCTCATGCCCCTACACAGCGGTAAGGAATTGTTTTCACGCCCCTACACTATGTGCTAACTATTGTAGATCATTATTCAAGGTTTGTTAACGTCTTTCTTCTGCGCACCAAGACAACTCGTTACCCGTGAATTTGAGAAATTCATTAACGTTTTTGGTAATCCTAAAGAAGTGATTGCGGATAATGGAGAATTTACTGCCACACAGTTCAGGGAGCTCTGTCGAGTAACTAACATTAAGATGTATTTTACCTTGCCTTACCACCCCAGAGGTGACAGTATCACGGAGAGAATGCACCGAGCCTTTAAGAACACTCTATCAATCATGTGCGGAGATAATCCTCGACGTTGGCCGCGATTCTTGGGTCCTCCCCAGTATGCCTTAAACACCGCTGTGCACCACCACCGGCGTACAACCTCATTTTGCGTTCTTTTCCAGACACGCAAAGAGACAAGTGGGCATTGAGTTACCAATAATAGAAAATGAAAGTACCGAAGGGTTGAGAGAAGCTCACGGGTTAATTACAGAAACTTTTGAACGAATGTCCAGAGTCAATCAAGCAGTACAACTAGGGGAAACTGTTTGGGTGAGAAATGAAGTTCCTATTCCAGGTACCAGTAGAAAACTAAATGCTATATGGAAGGGCCCGTATACAGTAATTGATGCCATACACAATGGTGCAGCGTATGAGTTAACCAACCCTTCAGATGAGACCGAGGTAATCCGACGAGCTGGTAAAAAGGTAAAAAGATGTATAAATAGAGATATGTTTGTCCATGTAAATAACATTCAGGTTCCCCCTAAGGATTCTTCCTCAGAGTCAGAACCTGATGAGAGAGATGCTATAAGGGATGATGAGAACACAGTAGCTCCTGCTCCTGCTCCAAGATTTCCCGTGAGGATAAAATCAGTTGTTAGAATGGGTCTTTAAAAAGTAATGTGCTAATAGTTTAATAGGATTACCTGAAGATTTGACACTCCAGCTTATTTCACCTGCTCATTAGTCACTAACAGGACTTGGTGGTTAGGTTTTGCTAGTTAAGTTGTTATCAGGTGAAATAAAGTGGGATCCCTAGCCTTTAAGATGGGCTGGCTACTCTTCGGGTAAAATAAGCTGCAGTATTTAATCTTCAGGTAAAATAAGCTGGGATGGTTGATAATAAGATAAACAATAAGATGGAGTGGCTAATCTTCAGGTAAAATAAGCCCAAATCCTAATAATTAAGTTTGGTTGAGGCTTATAAGGAATGAGGTCATTTTCACCAATAACTTATGTGTGCAAGTCACCGTCTCCCGACCCTCCGCTACCCCTGATAGCAGTGAATGTTGATAGTTCTTGCGTACGATGACAGATCTTTTCATATATACTTTTACTTCAGAGGGAGCCGAGGAAAGTATACAGCCTGAAGACAGTTTTACTGGTAGATGTTTGCAGTGTATGTGAGTGAGTGTCTGTCAATCGGTTTAATCATTCATTTTACATAATGGTAATAAGTTTGAAGCAGCTTGTATAATAAATAGGATAATTCAGGTCATAAATATCACGCGAAATAGCTATTAATTTATTTCACTAATTATGGTGACGGATTGTAACATACACAGTGACTCATTATCTATTATAGTACTTGATAGATATAAACAACCTTTCTCATACAAGCTATTTAAGGACTATACTTCCTTCTCCAACATTGGGTTAGGTTACACAAATCGTAATATGAGTTTAAAAATAAGGGATGAGTTTTTAAGACACCCTGTAGGTAGAATGATGCACCGTACCTCACAGCAACCAAAATAGTACGACTTTACTTTCTCATGATTGTCCTTCTGTTCCCCTGCCAGCACTAGCCCTATGACCTCACGCTATCTACTCCATAAATTGTACAGCAGAACAACACACTTCTCTGATTTCCTCTGCTTGACATATCGTGCGTCTTGTAGTGCAGACTTATTCATCTCTCGTAGTCCACAGCCTTTGGCGTTATGCTTTTATTCATCAACAAAGATTTGCTGTAAAATGTTTTCTTTGCCAACCTGAATCATGGTAAATATTAGTAAGAACAGTGATAACATTTGCTAACACTCGTGGGTGAGGTGCAAGTCACAGAGACGAGGTGATTGTTGCTGTCCTTCAGGTAGATTTGTGCTGACTACAGGGACCAGATGTGCTTACTGGTGACGTCTTACAGTACTACATATAAATGAATGGGAGATTTAACATTTTCTAACTGTTGTATAAGATGTGTTCTAATAGTGTTCACTTTCACAGCAAGGCTAATAGGTAGTCCTCCATGAAACACCTGCTGTGTCATCCCTCACGGTCGATAGATACTATCAGTAGAGTCAGGAAAGGCTCGAGGTGGGTTGATTCAACGCAGGAAAAGAGTGAATGATAACGGGCTATAGGATCTCCTGGACCACAGCTCCCCCGCCCTTAGGTTGGTCATGGATGGCCGCTATGCCTCGTAAAGCCTCGGGATTGAGGGGGTCGCTAGCCAGGACCTTCTGGTACTGTAGCGACGCCTGCAGGAAGTCCCCCTTCGCATAGTGTCGTCGTCCCTGAGCCAGAAGGTTCTCCTTATCACTGGTAGAGAGGCGGGGGACGGACACTCGGGCTCCTACACCGCCCACCAACTCACTCACTGTAATATGACCTAGAATCAACTTTTTTGCCCATCTTCAAGTCAGAAGCAGAGACCTGATTTGTAAATAATTTTCCTTACAATTAAAGACAAAGAATCTTATCTGTTTAACTTAAGCTATGACACAAGAATAACTGGATGACGTCACAAAAACACCGAGACTATTTTATATATGCGCTCTCTTAACACCAGTTCACTGAAAATACTAACATAAAAAAACATATATAAATCAGACATTAATATTCTCAAAGTTCCTTACGTTATATTTACATCTGGATATTAAACATATTTGGCTATAGTCGTCTTAAGTGAAATTCTAACACTACTTCTAACTCTATTTCTATATGGTATAAGTGAGGGTAGATCCTTAAGCGAGTCAGAATCACACATTATGCTTGATTGTGAAATTTACTGCTGGCCATGAAGCTGCTTTGAATAAATTAGCATTAAATTCCAAGGAGTGTGTATGCAAGTGTGGGTGTGTACAGGTGTGGGTGTGTACTGTACAAGAGTGAGTGTGTACAGGTGTGTGCGTGTACAGGTGTCGATCTGTAGAGGTGTGGGTGTGTACAAGTTCAACTTTGGATATGTACAAGTGTGGGTGTGTATATTATCAGCCTTCTGGCTGCCAAGCTCTTTCAATAAACCGTTAATTATTATTATTATTATTATTATTATTATTATTATTATTATTATTATAATAAGTGTTGGTGTGTGTGTGTACAAGTGTCCGCTTCTCGTTAATGTAAATAAAATACGAAGTGAAGGTTAACACTTTAAAATCTACAGCGTGAGTCACCTGTTTTAGTTGAACCTCTGATGGGGGGGAGAGGCGCCCGGATGACTTCAAATCTAGTAAGTTCCTCCTCTTGTCCTTTGATCTCGGCTGACCAGACTGCCAAGTCCGCCTCCAACGACGCTAACCTGACGCAGATGAGAAATGGCAACGACGTCTTAATATTTCAAAATTGGTGTATACACACATTGTCTGCGCATACTACCGTGTGTGTGTGTTTCGGTAATAGTGAAAAGAGTGAGTGTAAAAGTACTAGAGTGCAACGGGACTCACTGTTGAGGTGGTAGTTCATGTGGGCGGGTAGGCGATTGGGCGGTCTCCAGGACCCGACTCTGTGGGTAGACCATTGCCAGCTTCTCCTCTGTGTACCTGGCGTGAGAATACGTGTTATTACTATAATACTAATACTAATAATAATATGCAGTAACTTTCTTAAACTTCCTAGGAATTATCAATTATTTTCCTGAAACAATCAGTAATTTCCACAACCTGTTGAGGTGTGGTACCTGAGGAGGTGTGGGTAGGATCCCTCCTCTCCTGATCGCAGGACACGTATGATCCTTTCAAGGGTCTTTGAGTCCTCACAGTCCCTGACGAAGGAGTAGTCAAGCTGTTCCACCTGAATAAGAAAACACAACACCTTCACCATGACGAGAATGTGGCATAACATTGTAACAAATATTACAATAACAGCTGACTTGACAATTTGACGGAGCAGTGTTGTTGTTTTCACCCTGAAGCTCCACCAGCTCCACTCCTCACGCTCCCCAAACGCCCACAAGGTTAATATTGATGACTAATCCACCGACGCGTTATTAGATTTGATGTTTATTTTCTTCGACTCGTGTGATAGTGATTCTTGCAATTATGTCTAAATGAAAATACCGACAATGAGTTACAACTTGCCAGATGCCGGACGAAGACCAGGACTGGGCAAGTCATTTTAATCTTCCTTTGTGATCTGTACGACAACTGAACCAAACAGTACAGTATTGTATTATGTTCCTCGAAGGGCTGATTTTTGTGCAATCGCAAAATTTGTGGCCTTCCAAATTATTAAACAAAAACTATACTGACTGTACTGTACTCTAGTCACTAGTGTCTTCATAAAACGCATAGAAATTTGTTTACATTATTGTGAACGGCTGGATCCAACACTACATAGCTTACATTATAACATCGTCGTTCATCGAGGATACCGAGCCTACACACGTTCATTTGCTTTCATATATAAGACAAGTTCAAACCGTAATGGGTGTCTCTGATGTCCACCATGATACACTCTAACACCGACACCATTCATATTATTAGCTTACTTAATACCCAGCAAATTACCAGTTATTACTTCTTATGAGATGCAGCCTTAATTGCACTAAGAATTATTACCCTGCAAATTAGATTTCTTAACCCATTGTCTTATATTCGTTTATATCATAATAGTACGACTAATTACCTTGTATTAAGTCAATTTGTCTATTGTAATCAACTTCAACTTTGGTTCTCATTTGAGCATGGTGCAGCTGGTGTTGAGGGACCGGATAGCCTTCTCAGTATTTGAACAGGTGCTCGACATGTGTAACCAGATGTCTCCGAGTGTGTATACAGATGTTAGAAGTGAAAAACACAGATAACACTGTCGACATGACCCAAGGCTTCACGTGGTTTTCAATCGGGTCCAATAAGATCGTTGGTTCGAAAAGTAAGGTAGATTGATATATAAAGATAGTGAGAATAATAAGGAGGGGAATAGAGAAAGTAAAAAATATATATAAAATAGAAACAGACATACAAAGATAGAGAAAGGCTAAAAATATTTACTGAGTCACAGAGCTAACCTATCCTGACCGATAAGAATGTGGTCTAGTCCTAACAAATCTAATTTCTATTAGTTAGGGTAGGTTAGGTTAGGCTGTTTCATGTTTGGTCACGAGGCACAGTACTCACGGAGAGATCGAAGCGTTCCAGCAATGATGACTTTTCCGAGTGACGAGGCATCTTGCAGTTAGGCTTCAATCATTTCCACTTGATTCTAAAGTTGGATGTATACAGTGTATCGGTCTTTAGTCATCAGCTGGTGGTCTACAGTACTTATTCAGTCTTCTGCTTGATTTGGTCTTCTTGGCATTGTTCTTGAGTGTCGTTAGGTAGCGGCTCGGGTTCAGGCGTGACGCGGAGGACTTTACGTATTATCCAAGTGACGACCACGGACCCGTACACCAGGGTGATGGGAACGAACACAATCCACCCAGGCATTATGTTAACCTGAAGGAGGAAGAAATATTGATCGACTAAAAAAACAAATACAAACAAACAAACAACGATACTTAAACCATTAAAGTAAATAAAAAAAGATAGTTTCGTTGAGAATCGTGGTCATGAGACTAAAATATTTATTATGTAGAGTTAAGATGGTAAACATGGACGTTGTTACTATGTAAATTTGAGATAGTAGATAATTATGAAGCTTATTATGTAGATTTGAGATAGATATGAAGCTTATGATGTCGAGTTAAGATTGGTAGTCATGAAGCTTCAGTGCTCATTCACTGGTGGAATAGTTATGAAATGGTGTGTTTGTGGTCGTTGTTATGAAGATGGCAATAGTGATGGTGATGCTGGTAAGGGTAGTGAGTTGTGGTGGTAGTATAAGTGGTGATTGTGGTAGTAGTGTAGGTGATGGTGGTAGTGGTGTGGATGACGGTGGTTAGTTTGTGATGGACCCGTGGGTGTTTTACTTCCTTGTGGTGGGCGTGACGGTAGGCGGCACCGTGGGCGTACCCGGGTCCGGAACCGTAGAGCTGGTCCGTTAGGTCTCCTCCGCCATCCCCTCCTGAAGAGCAGTAATCCCAGCATTAAGGCTAGATCTACGTCATATTGAATAACATGGTAAAATAAAGTGTATGAGCTTTCTTATTTATTGGCAGATTTCTACCATTCAAAACTAATTTTTACTCAATATTTTTTTGTAAAAATAATGGGCTTATGGAAATTTGTTCTTAGTCTTCATACTTTTAAGATAAAAAATAAGTAAAATTAGCTTCGAGTGGTGGAAATGATCAATTAAAATAAAGTTTATACAGTTTCTGTATGGACGAAATCAGTTTTGCATCCATAACTCAGGAATTATTAGTCACAAACACCTGAAATTTAGCACTAAACACTCACTAGAAATAAAGTTAAATCTGAGTGAATATTACCTTTCTATTCCCCCAAAACTAATAGTTAAACTGCATGCACGCTTTACTCTGTATCTGTGAGGCGTTTGGTGGTATTTTTCAATACCTCACCACTGGGAATCTTGGGATGTATAGGATTATTTATTAACCAGTGTTTCTTATTTGAATGGTTGCGTCTGATTTTCTAGGTACAAAAAATATCACCAACATAAGAATGAAAAAAACTGGAGCGGGCCTATTGGCCCAAACTGGGCAGTCCCTCCCTTCATCCTTGACCACCGACGGGTCAAGACGGGTCAGACGCACCTGGCGCTGCTCTAGCAGCAGCCACGTCAACTATTATGTTGGCCCATACCAACTCCCTCCCCTGAACCCTCCTCCCCACCGGAATAACAAGTTCTCGCCAGAATTTACTATTTGGGAAAGGAATGGAACCAGTGTTGAATAATGGTGAACAGTGCTTAAGTCAGTGAAAAACAACTCAGCAGTCACAGTTGAGTCTTACCCAAGCTAACATTCACAGAGTGAGCTCCCAGGTACCCAGTGATAATTCCCCTGAGACTCCACGATGGGGAGGCCTGGGACCACACCACTCACTCAAGGTCCTGTGACAACAGACCACGTAGTGTCCACATGATGCTACGACACCACGTAGTGAATGAGTTGCTACAGCATCATGTGAGGTTCCTCATAACACCATCTGTGAGGGAATTACTACACCACGTCAAGCCCCCCATATCACCACCTGTGAGGGAACTACTACTCCACGTGGTGCCCCTCATAAAGGCCATCTGTGAGGGAGTTACATGTCTGCTGTTCAACACCTTAGCTCATATGATCTACGTGACCTCCGCTGTAAACATTAATCTGTATGTTCACTGTATGTTCCTTTACCTTTCTCTAATGAAGGCTTTTGTTAAACCACCAATGTATGTAATAAGTCATTTATGTCCAATGTATATTTTCAGCCTTCGGGCTGCCGAACTTTTTCAATAAACCGTTTATTATTATTATTATTATTATTATTATTACATGCGTGGAGGTAGTAGGCAGCTATCAAACAGGGAGGTACCACCGCCTGGGAAGATATTGGAAGCATAATGTAATGTCTAATGGTAGAACCTGCTGCCATATGTCACCACAAAAAATTTTAACCAAGTCCCAGGTTGCTGATCTGACTTTCTGCCTCATTTGCACACAATTGCAGGGTCTCAATTGTTTCTCTTACTTTGACAACACAGCATACATATATCGTTTCTCATTATTGATCTTCTTCTTCTTATTATTATTATATTATACGTATTGTACTTTTACACACACACACACACACACACACACACACACACACACACACACACACACACACACACACACACACACACACACACACACACACACACACACACTTGAACTCCATAATTTCAAAACAAAACTAAACATGACGTCTCAAAGTCGACCCTGCGATACGTCTCTGAACACTGCCATCACTCCACCGAACCAGCACTGTAGTTACTGTCGCTGCCCACATATATTTCATTGAAGAAAAGTGGTTGCCACATTTTCAGTTTTCATCGGATCAAGACTATCATTGAACTCAGCCAAGCACTTAGTTGAAGGGGGAGGGGATAATGTTACTTTATTTAATCCTCTTCGTTACTTGTCGGGTTGTTACAGTTAGTTTAAAGAAAATCGGAAACTTGGCAAAGCGCGCAATCTTTCATAACACTGTTAAGTTGTTTTGGGATGAAGTAATCACAGGAAGAAAGATATAGTTAGTTATGTGAATTTACAGGCAAAAAAAATGTTGACGGGGCTATGTTGACAGTGTTGTGATGACTTACCTAACAAGAGGGAGCCCGGCCTGTGTCTTTGTTCCGCTATGTTGTAGGAGGACCTCTGTGTACAGACAGCTGCAAGAAACACCTGTGAGCGAGACACACACCTTTTCACACACACACACACGCACATTTTGTTTCCTAACTTGTGCCCGGTGAATATATTAGGTAAGATGCATTTTCCATTCATTTTATGTTATTGTGTACGCTAGGTTTACCGGTTAAGTATATTCTTACATCTTCAGTTACGAAAAATATTAATCCTACGAATTACAAACATCTGACAGCCAGACCTCTGTTGGCAGGCAGCTAAAGTCAGTAGCAACAATTGCAACACTCACAACAAAGACCATGGTATAAATACCCTGTTGATTTCAGTCACCATATCTAAGTATATATTATACATTATCATTATTTTCTCTGACACTACTAAATATAATGTTCTCATGTACTTTCTATACATTTATAAATCTATCACACGTCATAATATACCCTATAGTTAAAATTCCACCTATATTTCGTGCACTTCCAACACCTTACAGAGGTGATCAGTGAAACGAATTAAATCCTAATTTCAATTCATCTCCATGAATTATTCAGCAATTATATTATCAATGCATGTACAGTCATTTTAATAAATCTAGATACGAAGATTATATTCTGCTTATCTGCATGATATAGCCTTAACTAATTTAGTCCATCAATGGGGTTTTAGTCTGCTTCAAACTATTTCCGTACACAATTTATGTATTTAGAACTCCAAAAAATGTTCTCTTTTGTAATTGGAGAACCTGGTTGTTATCCCTTTATCACACTCGTTATGCAGCTTTCCTTGCGTTTACAGTTAGTATATTCTAAACAAAGAACTCACAATTTTGTTGGAGAATTTGGTGGTTGACGCTGGTATGCGACGAACGAGGCTCCGATGTTGTTGTTCAACTCTTGTTGCACTATTTACTTACGTCGATGGCGTCCGATCTGTTGTGAGTGGCTGTGGATTCGACTTCCTGGATAAATTTGAGCTTGATAACACGCTCTTACAAAATTTCCTATTGTCGCCATTATTAACAACCTCACATTTAACTTTTTCTAAATTCAATATATACAGATACGATACTATACAATGCAAAATTACTTTCTTTAATGGCATTGATTACGTAAAAATGTTCGAGCGTGTCTCTTACAGTATGTTACCATGGGAACGTCGGCAAGCAATATGGAAACACCCAGATAGCATAAACTTGGTAAATAATATTCTTGTATGTAATGCTACTCCGTCTAAGATAATAATCATAATATTAATATATATCGTCCATGTAAATTTTGCTAACTGGACATGTCAGTTCCCCATTTGTACTACGGTAATCAAATAAATCAATATAGTTTAACAAATAATCCTAAACTCTACCTAGTCAAATTTAACTTAATTTAACCTAACCAAAACTAATCTAACTTAAGTGAATTAGGTTTAGTTTAATTACGCTAGGCTTGTTATGTTCGGCTAAGTACAATAATTACGTTTTGATTACTTTGCATTTGGTTAGGTTAGGTTACACTTGGTTAGGCTAGGTTAGGCTACACTCAGCTATATTACGATTTTTTCTCCATTATTTATCAACTCTATCGCCATCCAAGTACGAAACTCAACTAGGAAATGGATCCCCAAACCGCCTTCCAGCTAATTGACCAATACTTAAATAGTTCAAGTATTAGTCCAGCATAAAGGTCAGCGGGATATTATTTTTTTCTGTTTAAAGGTGACTGGAGGTCAAGCTAACGTCAGCCTGAGTCCCATTTATTGATCTATGATGTTGCCACGTTAATAAATGAATCCTCCCAAATAACTTGTTTTATTTACTGTATCTACCTTAGTGAAAATAACTTTTATAGATAATGTTAAAAAAATAGAGCAAATTGAGATACAATAAAGAATTGGATTAATAGACCAATCAGGTGCGGATTCCCGTTAAATCAGTATTGCAGGTGAGGGTCACTACTCGCCTGGCAGTACAGCCTACCTGGTGTTTACACTTGCCAGCCGTACGAGTCATGTGATCGTGAATCCAACACGGACTTATTAACTGAACAGGTGATGAATTTAATCATCCTCATAATTTAGGCAAGAAAAGTGAGTTATACCTAAACTATTAAAATAGCAAAACAAAGGTTATATCAATTAATAACATGGGAAGACAGTTTACTCTACGCTGTGTATTTCCTGCTCATGTTTCCGCCTTGTGCTGCAGCCATGTCCAGCAGTCGATGCGGGAGTGTCTTGTGATACGGACGAGGAAAATCAACTTACCTTTTTTCCTTAACTGGCTAAAATCACAAGAACTAAATTTATCATTCATTTGAAAAGGGACTCAACGCACTGCTACACTGAGCATATCTCCGACTTTTCCGCCCTGGCCATGCGAAAAATAGATGGATGCTTAACTAAACTCCACTGATTCCCAGATTGCGAGTGTAATTTTATTGATTCTTGCAACGTCACGATTTACTAAAGAACTGCAGTGAGAGGAAACCTGTCTAGCTGTTGGTGTTTTATTGACGTTTGACGTTGAGACCTTGCCCTCACTCTCACATTACACCTCTTCCCTCCCCACACCTTTCCTCACCTTACCGCTTCTTTTATTTGTTTTTCCCAGAACCTCATCACCTCAATTGTTCCCCCCTGTCTCACTCTCCTTCCTTTACCTTCCGCTCCGGCAGTCTGCCTCACCCTCCCCCCTCCCATTCCTCACACTCCTCCTCCCCCTACCTCCCTCACTCATCTTCCCCTCCTTCCATCCCAAACCCGCCCTGCCTCTCACTTCCGGCCTCACCTCCCTCCCTCATTCTCTCTCCTTTATAAGTTTTCAGTTTTCCAAATACTGTAGTTAATATCACACACACACACCAAACGTTGCTGATTTTATACTAACACTGGACAATGAAGGATAAACTCACCAGAAACAAATTGCGTATGGATTAAACTACCCACCATTGTTGTTTCTCGTCAAAGCGGCAACCAAACAACAACAGCAGCAACTTACACCAGCGTTGTTACCACACTTCCGTTACCACCTCTGGCAGACTGTGTTGTTCCCACTATACACTAAGCCTTCGAGGAATATCTGTAAGTATATAATAATTATAATAATAATAATAATAATAATAATAATAATAATAATAATAATAAATTGTAGGAGTAGTATCATAACTCAACTTTGCCTTGTTTCATGTTTATAGCATTATAATTCTTCTTACAGTTTACGAGAGAGAGAGAGAGAGACTACCGACAATGAAGACAAAGTATTAATCCATGAGACTCCAAAGGTTTCAGGTTCACCAGTTGACCCTGTTACACACTCATGCGCTACGCTAAATATTGATAATTATCGTAGATTTAACCTTCAAGAGCAGCTGAAGTTATTACAGTATTGGGGTAATTTTTGTATATTTATTGGTACTATTTAATGAAAAATAATTCGTATTTGGTAGAATTTGCTCCTTTTCATTTAAGACGTATTTTACCGTCATAAGGTTAGGTTAGGTTTAATTGTGCATGAAACTACTCATTATTATTATTATTATTATTATTATTATTATTATTATTATTATTATATGATCGCTTATGGGCAGTCAGAAGTTTAACAAAATGCATTGAAGTTTTTCATAATCAGCAGTTCATCATCTTTATTGCTGTGTAATGGGTGTGACATTTAATATGTTTGGATTGACGAGTGTACATACTGTATATTAACATGCCATGTACGTATTTCTGAAATAAATCTTTCTTGCAGTTTTATGAGTATCCTTTGTAAGTTTGTACCAAGTCATAGATTTATGTTATTGAGTTAATAATTATCTGGTTTAGTTAAACATACATTACTTAAATATTATATTTTACTTAAATCTTGAATAATGCCGTACGACCTTTTTCCTTGAAGTTGCCAGCTAGACATTATCCAGCAGCACCACCATACGCGGGAATCGAGACCACTGCACTCCGTCAGTCAGTAGAGACCGAGGGGAGGAGAATTCAAGTGTGCAATCGTATTTTGGTGGGTGTTGACTTCTGAGTGGTAAATATATTAATAGTTTCGCTATATATTGAAATTGCAGTAACATAAAGATAGTATGAGAACCCAAAAGAATACAGTGTACGTCAGAAACTTGGAAGGAGCAGGATAGTGTGGGCGAGGAGGTTGGCTATTTTAAAGAAGATAGGCTGGTTGTAATCTCCTGCAGGAAGGGTTGTCACACGAGAAGGTTAGCAACTACACTAATATTACAGTGTTGATACTAGAGCTCAGTGGAATATCATGCTACTTAAATACTACACAAATGGTGAGTGTGGATAGGTGAGGTGAATGTGTAGTGAAGACTCGTGCAACGATTTCCATCTGAATGTAACTGTCCCGGGGCGGAAAATATTCAAGTCAGAGACAGTTCTTCTAATGGTGAATGTTTGGTAATGCGTAAATTCTCAGAACGTAGTGTATTGTGTACAGTGTATGATGTGTTGATGAGTATATGCTAAGGTGGCATCATTTTGTAACACCACGTAGGCAAGATACATAAAACATCATCATCAGTATATATATATTTTTATTCATGATGGACTTGGGATTCAATGGCACTGAATGGCGATCAATTTGGGCATGAGTGAGTGAGTGAACAGCATGTCATTTACATACTGAATAATTTATCTAACGTGTACGACATTTGCACTTGCTCCTATGAACGCCGTGACTAACTCGTATGTACTGTACTGGGGTGATTTGAAGTGAATGTCAAGTTACAAATTACGATTCGTTTGCTCCGTGTAGTGCGTATGAGTTGAGGATATGATCAAGTACAGTGCATGTGTGAATGTTTTTACTCGTCTTAAGTATCACTTTCTACACTTGCTTCGCACCACTCTATTATTGCCCTCACCTTTGACGTTTCTAAGTAACTTTATCCAACTCTCGCACACACACACAAGTGGGGTAGTAAATAATGTTTCCTCCTTAACATTGTACAAATATTTACTTGGGTTTGGGATATCTGTACCTATCTAGTTTGTCAACCCAGGTGAATTATTTCCCTCGGGGTCAGGATTCATAGAGACTTCACGTTAATAAATTGTCTCCCTCCACTAATGTTGTCCTCTAGCTGGTGGTAAGAATGTATCTAGTCCAAGTTGTGTCTTAGTGTAATTTTCTTGCCTATTTTTATATGTTTTCGTGTGTTTTAAGAGTAATAGCACGGTGTGTTTTTACATCTCCAGGTTGGGGAAAAATTTTAACTTACGAACCTTGGAAAATCTTGGTTCCGTGGTCCTTGTGTAGCTGTCGGGGATATTTATTCTGTGCAACACAATTACCCGCTGAATAAAATACATGTGTTATGACTAAAACAATATACTGCATATCGCGTGAGGCAATAAGAGTTTACAACAACAGGTGTATGATAAGCAAGAGTTTACAACAACAGGTGTATGATAGAGCAAGTGTTTACAACAACAGGTGTATGATAGAGCAAGTGTTTACAACAACAGGTGTATGATAGAGCAAGTGTTTACAACAACAGGTGTATGATAGAGCAAGTGTTTACAACAACAGGTGTATGATAGAGCAAGTGTTTACAACAACAGGTGTATGATAGAGCAAGTGTTTACAACAACAGGTGTATGATAGAGCAAGTGTTTACAACAACAGGTGTATGATAGAGCAAGTGTTTACAACAACAGGTGTATGATAGAGCAAGTGTTTACAACAACAGGTGTATGATAGAGCAAGTGTTACAACAACAGGTGTATGATAGGAGCAAGTGTTTACAAATAAGCTCAGGTGTATAGATAGAGCAAGTAAGCACAACAACAGGTATGATAGAGCAAGGGCTTACAAATCAACAGGTATGATAGAGCAAGTGTTTACAACAAATAGGTGTAAGATAGAGCAAGTAAGTACAACAAACAGGTGTATGATAGAGCAGTAAGCTAAATGTAACAGGTGTATGATAGAGCAAGTGTTTACAAATAACAGGTATGATAGAGTAAGTAAGCTATAACAACAGGTGTATGATAGAGCAAGTGTTTACAACAACAGGTGTAAGATAGAGCAAGTGCTTACAACAACAGGTGTATGATAGGAGGCTAGTATTACAACAACAGGTGTATGATAGAGCAAGTGTTTACAACAACAGGTGTATGATAGAGCAAGAGTTTACAACAACAGGTGTATGATAGAGCAAGTGTTTACAACAACAGGTGTATGATAGAGCAAGTGTTTACAACAACAGGTGTATGATAGAGCAAGTGTTTACAACAACAGGTGTATGATAGAGCAAGTGTTTACAACAACAGGTGTATGATAGAGCAAGTGTTTACAACAACAGGTGTATGATAGAGCAAGTGTTTACAACAACAGGTGTATGATAGAGCAAGTGTTTACAACAACAGGTGTATGATAGAGCAAGTGTTTACAACAACAGGTGTATAATAGAGCAAGTGTTTACAACAACAGGTGTATGATAGAGCAAGTGTTTGGTGACACGCACATACAGTACACTGATAGTGGTTACTGTTATATTAGTTAAGTCAAATTAAATTAGTTTAGCTTAGGTTAAGTTAGGACAGATTTAATCGGAATATTCCTTCACATTATTAACATTCCGTCACTAGTTTGTTACACCTAAAGCAACAGTCAGGCTAGATCAGGTAAGGTTAGATCAGGTTACAACAAGTTAGGTTAGGTTAGGTTAGGGATAACTTGTAAACCACACGCTATACAAGCACCAATTGATTTTCACGCTCATAATGTTTTAACCTGTGTAATTATCCTCAAGCGATTTTATTCAGCATAAAGAAACTCCTACAGCTCTCGGGGGGGAGGTCAAGAGATACATTGATTAACCCAGTGTGTATGGTCTCACTTTGTTGTGATGGTAGTGAGTGGTGGTGGTGGGTGGTAGTGGTAGTGGGTGGTGGTGATGGTAGTGGGTGGTGGTGTGGGTGGTGGTGATGGTAGTGGGTGGTGGTGATGGTAGTGGGTGGTGGTGATGGGTGGTGGTGATGGTGGTGGTGATGGTGGTGGTGGTGTGGGTGGTGGTGATGGTAGTGGATGGTGGTGAGGGTGGTGGTGATGGTAGTGGTGGTGGTGATGGTATTGGGGATGAGATGGTGGTAGGTTGGGGTGGGGAGGTTGATGGGTGTGTGTGTGTTGACATGGGGTGTGTGTGTGTGGGACGTGGGTGTAAGTGTCATGGGTGTGTGTGTGTGTTGTCATGGGTGTGTGTGTGTGGTCATGTGTGTGTGTGTTGTCATGGGTGTGTGTGTTGTCATGGGTGTGTGTGTGTTGTCATGGTGTGTGTGTGTTGTCATGGGTGTGTGTGTGTTGTCATGGTGTGTGTGTGTTGTCATGGGTCATGGTGTGTGTGTTGTCATGGGTGTGTGTGTTGTCATGGGTGTGTGTGTGTTGTCATGGGTGTGTGTGTTGTCATGGGTGTGTGTGTGTTGTCATGGGTGTGTGTGTTGACATTGGTAGTGTAGTGAAGGTGTTAATATTTGTCGTTAATATGATAGCTGTATTTAAAGTTCACTTGTTAAGTGGGGAGAAATATCATGTTTTTATTGGTATATTGTGGACCAGTTTGTACACTAGGACGAGTCACTCAACACCATAACCCAACTGCAACACTATAACTCAACTGCAACACTATAACCCAACTGCAACACTATAACCCAACAGCAACACTATAACCCAACAGTGAGTCAATGAGTGAGTGAGTGAGTGAGTCAGTGAGTGAGTGAGTGAGTCAGTGAGTGAGGATCAACAATAAACGTGGGTTAGAATGTACTATATCCCTTCTGCTACCATTATCCTCTTTACTGGTAGTGTAAATATAATGAAGTTGTCTGAGCTTGATCATCCTTGTACTGTCTGTGTCAGTGTGAGGCGACTGTTGTTCGTGATAAGGGATGAATGTAGTTATCTTTCCATTTAAGCTACAGATAACGATTTATTTATTTATTTATTACAAAAGTCTGTTGATTATCGTGATGGATCATTGTTATCAGAACTGAAATACCTCGAGATGTAAGAACCTCTCTCCTGGGGACCACATTCTTTTATGACTGACTACATACAT